AGAAAGAAGTGTGTGTGTGTGTGTGAACCTGCGTCAGCGCGTCTCTCTACAAACGCGAGTTACTTAAACAGTGATTTTACCCTCTCCTTGCTGATGAATATGTAGCAATTCAGTATCTGTTATTTTATTAATAAAAGTCAAGGGGCAGGGTTCACAACAAGTTTGTGTCCTCCTGAATGTTTGCATGTGTGCATAGCGCAATCTCCGATCTCACAAACCAAAATAATAGACATGATTTTCTCAGGCCACATGTAAAAATCATATGAATTATTATAAAAATTATTAAAATGAATATGTATGGATGACAGTTGATTACAATAGTTCAGTTTATTCCCCTCATCATTAATAGTTTCCCCTGTGGGATAAATAAAGTTAATATTCCTATATTAATAATACTTATTAACATTGTTATATATGATCCCTTTTATAGTATTATGCATAAGTCGAAAATCAACAAGATTTTTTTTTTCACCATGTTTCAAGTTTTCTGCCTCAGTTCCAAAAGAGATGTAAAGAATGTACAAACTGAAAACACTAAATACTTTTGTGATCTATTTTCATTAGTTATTTTCAAAAGGGAAATACTGACATGGATGTTTATAGCAGAGGTCACCTTTTTAATTCCAATTGGAGAGATAGACATTTGTTTGTCTTTATTATTATTATTATTTTGTGCTGTATTATTGGTTACTGTGTTATTTCTGTTTCTAAAGGCAGCAATAAATAACACTTCATTATCTAAAGTGTCCATGTGAATTTATAAAATAATTTTGTGAAATGAATAAATGCATAATAATCGTGAAATCGTGATTATTCCTCAGACAATAATCGTACCAACAAAATCTATAATCGTTGCATCCCTAATCATGACTGTGCTGGTCCTGGCTTGATACATGTAAGGTATGCTTTACCTTGTATTTGCTTGTTGACCTTTGTTATAGGACTGTATGATGGTCACTACTCATTTGTTTGTCATGTATTTGTATGTCATATAGGCTGCTTAATTTTTATGTTGGACTGTGTAGACTTTTTATTTTGATTCATTTAGTTTCACTGTAAAAATTTTTGCAATTTTTAAAATATTTTAATATTTTAAGATATTTATCTCTATTACCTTCTACTGGCTCGGGGTGCAAAGGTTACTTTAGCTCGACATTTGTACATGTATTATCTTTAGTATAGTGTTTGACACTATTTTTGTCATTTTATTGTAAATAGCTGTGTTGCATCTGTAATTACCACAGATTAACTGGAACAGTCTAGTTTTAACAAATTGTGATGTTTTCATTTGAAGTAGTTCAAGAGGACACCATCAATATTGCACTGATAAAGACTAGTGTTAAAATTTATGGTATGATTAAGTTTAATCTGGTCATGCTTTTAATCAAAATTGACTGATTGTGTTGCATGGATATAATCGGCAGCCAAATAATACTATATTTTTTATTATTAAATGTGCCTTTTGGCCTTTTCATGACAAGGTCATAGTGGACAGAATTAATGAAGTATTTTCACTGATAAAGATGTATACTGTATATGTATATATTAGTATTTTTATTACATATATTGACAAGATCCTTGTGGATATAATATTGAAATTATTTTAAATTGTTTCCCATCTTGTTCATAATTCAGCATAATTTCAGGATTTGAACTCTTTTTATCACTTTATCCTATATTTTGTTTGTCAGTAGGGGGCGATCTTAAATTGTCAGCCCTGTAGCCATAGACTTGATCGGTGTCGCGTCATAGCTGTGGGGGAACACAGTCCTTTCCCCCTCATTGGAAAAGCATGGTGTTGACTCAGAATGGCCTACATAAAATCTTTCTGCCTCTCGACAGAGCAACATACGTATAAAAACTGAGCCGTATTGGTTCGGACTGTCCATACGGTATCTGTGGCTGGACAAACGACCCAACGGAATGGCCAGAGGTGTCGTTTCCCGACATTTTTTGTTACCTAATTGAGCAAGAGACAGCTTGCCTATACGAGACGGCTTGTGAAAGTAAACATTTGTCGTTTTGGTTTGCTTAATTTTAATAAAGTGGTAAAGACGTGAGTAAAAGCCTGTCGTACTGTCTTGTTGGTATATTAAAAAGATTTTTAACATTAACAAAACAGGTAACATTAACAGGTCCACTGAGTGAAGTGCCTTGAAATGCGCAGCGTTATTCTATGTGGTGTGTGCTGCGGCTGCCTAATCATTTTCACAAATACATGCCGTAAAATAAAAAGATAACATGAAAATATGTATATAAAATACCAAAAAACATGGTTATTGGTTACTATAGTTAAACCATGGTAAAAACAACATGTTTAGCTACACTAACCTTAGTTTAATGGTATTTGTAGTAAAACTGTGGTTATAGGCTACAATTGGTAATAAAAACGCCACAAAAAAAAACATGGTTAGCCTCCTATACTTTTACTATAGTAATACAATTACTATATGTAATAATAATACATTTATTATTATTTTTAATAATAAATTAATATATATATTTAAAATAAATGTTTTTATAGATTATGACATCACAAAATATCAGGGAGTGAGATCTATTTGATTGTGATGCGAAGGAGGGTTACTGTAAGCCCCATCAGAAATGGGTTGCGGTGCAGGGGGGACGGGACGCGGCGAATGACAGATCATTGCAGGGTAAGTAGTGTAGCCTATCTATGCTATCTGCTCAGTGCTACCTCCGGTAGTCCGTCTGTTTATTAGTCATATACATCTTCAGATCAGTTTTTTTTAACTTAGTAGAGGTACAGAACGCCACACAGCTACTTTTCTGCATTGCACCAAGCAAAAATCAATCGAAATCATCACAAAGGGTAAACAAGGTCTCCGCGCGTTAATTCGAATGGTTTGTTTTCCCCCACGGCATAAACGGTTATGACGTTTTTGTGGGCGTTCCCAGCAATGCCGAACAACTTTGAAAAGTAAACAAATCATTTAAAAACTGGATATTTGCAGAAATAGCATTTTAATAAACACCTTGAGCGAACAAATTGGTGTTTCAAACCTTATAGACATTCATTTAAAAATAAAAAAGCAGCTATTTCGTGGACTGACCCATAAGCTGTAACGTTAACTAAAAACAGGTGTTACATCTGGCCGATTACTCTTGCTGTCGCAGCAAAACAAGAGTCCGCGTGTGCTTACTTTGTGGTGGAGGCCAGTGGTTAAGTAGCCTGCAGCGCACTTTCACTTTTGGAGCAGAAAATAACACTTTTGTAAGTATAAACTTGCGTCGCACGTTCAGGCTGATGTAAAGCACGTACTCTATTTAATGTAAAGTAAATAACGCTTTAAGAGGCAGCTACAGGTAGTCTCTAACAAAACAACACGAACAGCTCAAGTTTTGCTAAAAGTTAACAAAGCGGCAGCCATCGAACCGTCACTTTCGCTCGCATGTTATCATTTACTTGTATAATCTGTTGTGCATGTGCTTCGTGTTGTGGTTTGCATTGGAACTATGCTTGTAATTTCTCTCCACACACTCTCCAACTCCAACAAACGCACACATTGCGCAATTCGGTATTCTTATTGTGAAAACTGAGAGAATATAGACAAAAGAAGGAAGGACAGGGTACAACAAAAAATAATCTTTCCTTTATAAGTAACTTAAATCCTCTTTAAGACATCACCACTTGACTTAGTTTATATTGCTTAATCTTGCCTTGTGACTTTTTTTTTTAGCTAATAATATAAATCTGCTTATTATATTTTCAGGATTTAAATTTAACAATGGACAAAACTCATCCAGGAAGCAAATCAAGACCCTTTCCAGTAACAACATTATTCAAACAGGAGCCTCAGAAATCTGATAAAATGCAGGTGACATACAGAATTCCAGCTCTCATCTATATCAGTGACAATCAAACGTTTCTTGCCTTTGCTGAAAAGCGGAAAACTGCAGATGACACGGATGCAGATGTCCTTGTGATGAGAAAAGGAATATGTAAGGATAGTGAAGTTGAGGTGAGTCTTGGTACATTATTGTACAATGTTAAACAGTTCTCTGGAACTTAAGTTTTAAAGGAATAGTTCACCCAAAAATAAAAAAAGTGATACATTTATTTACCTGGCTCAGGCCATGTGAGATGTAGATGAGTTTGTTTCTTCATCAAAACAGATTTGGAATCCTTTAGCATTACATCACTTCCTCATCAAATGGATCCTTTGCAGTGAATGGGTGCCATCAGATTGAGAGTCCGAACAGCTATTAAAAAACACAAAAATACCCACAAGTAATCCACACATCTTGTAAAGCAAAAAGTTGTGTTTGTAAAAAAAAATCCATCCCCTGTTGTCCTCTCAGAGTCCACAGACATATTCATTTAGAACTGTTTTTGTAATTTACTTTTTATACTACACAAGACATTAATTGATTGACAGGAGTGTTGATTACTTGTGGGTTACTGTGACGTTTTTATCAGCTGTTTGGACTCATTCTGACGGCACCCATTCACTGCAGGGGATCTGTTTGGTAAGCAACTGATGTAATGCTTTTCTGATGAAGAAACAAACTCATCTACATCTTGGATGGCCTGTGTGTAAGCACATTTAGCAAATTTTCATTTTTAATATTAAGCCTTTTTTTCGCCTTATTTTTCTTTTTTGTTTTCAGTGGGATAATAGTCATGAGTTGCTCACTTCGGCTTGTCAACCAAACCGCCGCAGCATGAATCCATGTCCAGTCTATGAGAGAGAATCCAAGACCCTCTTTCTGTTTTTTATCACTGTTCCTGTTGGGGTCTCTGAACACAAACAAATACACAAGAATAAGAATCAGGCACGACTTTGTTACATAACCAGTCATGACACTGGCAAAACCTGGAGTGATATGACAGACCTGACAGCAGATGTGATCGGTGAGCAGGAGAAGGACTGGGCCACCTTTGCTGTCGGACCAGGACATGGTGTTCAAATGAAGAGCGGAAGACTGATTATCCCAGCATATGTGTATCCTTGCCACTCTCTCAACTGTGAACCCACATCGCGTGCATTCACATTCTACAGTGATGATAAAGGAAGTACTTGGCATTTAGGAAAACGTGTGGATGGTGAGTCTAATGAGTGTCAAATGGCTGAGATCATTGATGACAAAGGTAACAGTAAACTTTACTGCAATGCTCGAAGTATATCCGGCCACAGAGTCGAGGCTCTAAGTGAGAGTAATGGAGATGCTTTTGACAAGCCTTCATCTGCACGTAAGCTGACAGAGACAGGACATGGCTGCCAAGGAAGTGTGTTGAGTTTTGCCCCTGATCGAGCAACTGAAAAAACATGGCTACTCTATTGCCATCCAACCAATCCAAGCAAGAGAATGTGCCTTGCCGTCTACTTGAATAAATCGCCGTGGGATGCCTCAGGATGGGAGGACCGTAAATTGATCATCTACGATGGTCCAAGTGGATACTCCGATCTGGCTCACTGTGGAGATGGAAAACACTTTGCCTGTCTTCTGGAATGTGGAGAGATAAATGAGGTTGACGGGATAGCCTTTGTCCTTTTTAAACTCAGTGACGTCATTTAGGCCAGGGTTGCTAAATGAGACTGCAAAAGTCAACATTTTCTTTTCGTTTGGCAAATTATTAATTTACTGCTAAAAATAATGGACAAGTACTCACAAAATTGATATTAAGCATATTTAAATCATCAAAATATGAAGATCATACACTACCATTCAAAGCTTTTTTTTAAACCGCATAAACACATTTCATTACACCAAATACACAAAATAATGTTCTTTTTAGCATTCAGCTTGTCTACCAAACCACTGCAGCATGAATCCATGTCCGGTCTATGAGAGAGAATCCAAGACCCTCTTTCTGTTTTTTGTCTGTGTTCCCACTCGAGTCTCTGAATATGAACAAATATGCACAAACAAGAGCCAGGGGCGACTATGTTATGTAACCAGTAAGGACACTGGCAAAACCTGGAGCCATACTGTAACGAATCAGCTCATGGGAAATATGAATAATTAATCATAACTAGTTATAATTAATTATGAATATTTTAGATCCGCTGTAGATATTTACTTGACCTCTCAGGGTCAACTGTCTTGTCTTAGTCTGAGACAACTGGGCTACATATGATCTCATAATCAAGTGCTTCTGTCAGTTCGCGTTGAAAAGAGATTAAACATTGAGGACCGTAGAAATGAGTGCAGCTGCCAATATGCAGTTTGCTGTGGAGAACAGAATCTAGCACAACGTTTGTGTGTTTCTTTTCACAGGATGCATATGTTTAGCGGATCAAACACTATACCAATGCTAATATGATGCTTCCAACATGCTTGGCACATAAGTTTCTGATTTATAAATTACTCACCCACAGGTGGTCTGGTTTCATTTGTAGATGGTCCGGATTCATTGCTAAAAGACTTATTTTCAATTGCGATATTCAATATTTATTTTTTTTAATAAATTGATCTGATTGATGTTAGTTTCACCATTTTCAAATTCAACTCCACAAACCTGCGCATTTTACTGTTATGTCCTTATGTCGTAAACATAACATGGTGGGTGGGACTAACAGAAATTGACGAATCATCATGTTGACAAGCGTAGACTATGGTATACACCTATAGGAAGAGGGAAAATTAAGAAACTGCCTCCAATTGACCATGAAAACTTTTTTATAAAGCTATAGTGAAAAAAATAGTAATATTTTTGTTGAATAATTTACATCCATTTGGAAAATTACCTACTTCTCAGTGGGTGGGCCCATGCCCACACGCTTCACCACTGCTCCAAACTTTTGATCAAAATACTTCCTGATGTATTACCGTCTAGCCAAAAATGTGCTTTATGCAAAGCAGTTCTGTGCCATTTTTCCATTTTTATTGTAGATTTCAGTTTTTTTTTTCTTTTGCAAAAATTGATAACAGCTGCTTTCCTCACTTTCATTACCGCTCTTTCTCCAACCGTGCTTTATTTATTTTTTATTTTTTATAAACTTATTTGAAGTAGTCCTTGAGTTGCATGTCAAACCCTCTTTCATGGACAGCATATGCCTGTTTACCCTCATCATACTCAAAGATTATATGAACAAACTTGTGAAATAAAAAGGAAATGCAGTGTCATGTCCCTGGTTGGTATCTTGTCACAGCTGAGCATCCATAAGGGCCCCAGTGGAAACTCACAACTTGATACAGTGTGGGTTCTTTGGTTCTTTGCAGCAGTAAAATGTGCAAGCTGTAGTTTTATTTCAGATAAGTTTCTCTAATGTTACATTACCTCTTGAAATCATTTTAGAAAAAAGATAACTATAGGCAATCAGTATCTTGTTGCACATTCTGCTGTATCACACCATTTTCACTTCTTTTCAGTATTATTTGAGTGCTCAGTAAAGATAAGATGTGTTTTTAAACATTTGCGCAGGGCTGTGTAACATTAGGGATAGAGACCATAATTCATTTTTGACGTAAGAGATAAAGTTATCCCAGTGTTTATAATTCATGCACGTAACATGGCTCATAAATCATTAAATAATTTTTCTCTAATTATTCCAGATACTCCAAATGTCACCATCACAAGCTCATTGCACAGTCCTCAACTCCTTTTGCACTTAGTGATAAAATATTAGTGATAGCATCTGTCAGTGGCCCAGTCCAGTAAACATAATGGATCTGTCTGTATCTACTTGCAGTTCAAATCAGCAGTAACTTGGAAAATCACAGGACTTTTGCCAGATTAAGCAATCTAATTGGAATATAATAAATAACAGTTATATAAACACAATAAAAAAAAGCACGTAAAGCATATTTTTATCCAACACAGCCCTTCAAGATTGTGTCAAACAGGAGAACTAATGCAAAATAATTATAATGCATAAGAGAACATGTAAGAAATGCATTTGTATAATTTGCATAATGTTCATAAAATGGAAGCTTAAGGACATTTTAATTAATTTTAATAAAATATTGGTGCTTACGCTTATAACACTGGTGCTACTTATGTCTGTGTTGCCACTTTTTCCCTACAGTGGAGACAGTAACACCACCCAGACAAATTAGCACATTAATAAGATTATATTTATCAAAATTTAGATTAAAATATGCAAAAAATAAATAAATATTGGGGACAGTTTTTTTCTTCTTAAAATATTATAAAATGTATGTTTTAACCTATTTAATAAAGTTGCATGTTTAATAAAATATTCTGTATATTCACAGTATAACTGGTTTTATGTGTATTAAACGTGTTTTTCCCCATTACATCCCAGGATAACTCTTTGATGTATGGTGGAAATATGCGGATTTTGTTAAACATTAAATCTCTCAAACTCAATTAAATATGTATTTTAAAACAAAAATATAACTTAAAACAGTGCACACATTTTTTTCACCCTACAGAATACAAATATGCAAACATTTTTGGTATTTAACGATTTAACATTATTTAACATTTAATTCACACACATAAAGAAAAAATACTTTATGCTCTCTTTTACTTGCAGACTTTTACTTACGGACTACAATAAATGAAACAGATAAAGAATGTTTTTCACCCTGCTTATCATCCTGCTCTTTAACTTAGTAAATGTTTAACTTAGTTTCAGAAATTTCCTGTGTTGATATAGGTTATTATAAATAAGGGATGCTCAGTATGTTTTGGTTAGACCTGATGAGAGGCTTGAGAGGTGGTGACGAACCTGCTGTGTTGCTGCTGCTGCTGCAAAAAAAATCATTGCTGTGAGTATTGCTTCTTATGGAGAGAATTTTTGACAAGGACAAAAAAAAATCTAAATGTAATTTATTATTTTTTAAGAATAATATGTTGTGTTCTTGTGATGTCAGTGTCACCTTAAAAATAAAATACAACATTGTGTCAGGACTTACAAAAACTGTTTATTTGTAGCGCTACCTCTGAATAAAGGGGGTTGGCCAGACTTCTGATGCTGCACACAATTCAGAGTGCCACTAACAGTTTTTCTAATAAATTACAATGTATTTGTCCCAAATTGTTAACACTGATGTTTTTATTTTCATACAGCGTCAATAAATTTGCAGGTTGAAGTGCGAAACTTTCTTATGTAACTTCTGTCTGTACAGTGATTATACTCATTGTCTTGTTTTGGACGTGAGACCAAGTGATTCTTGTACTTTGTCCTATGTGTGCACTCTGCAGGCGTGCCCCTTGACTCTTTTGATTCTAGCAGTATTGTGCTTTTTGGCAAGGTTTTGATCATTTTTGTATAATTTTTTTTGATCATTTTTTTATATAAAAGCCTCAAACCTGGTGTTGCTGTTGTAAAAATCAGGTGTCATACAGAATTCCAGCTCTCGTCAATCTCAATGACGACCAAACCTTCCTTGCCTTGGCTGAAAAGAGAAAAACATTAAGTGACACAAACGCAGAAGTGCTTGTGATGCGAAGAGGAACATTGAAGGATGCCAAGACTCAAGACGTTGAGGTCCAAAAAAAAACTGAAATATTATTCCTGAGTTTTCTTAACTTACATAGCCTGGCATGAACACAGTCATGATGCTTTTTATTTCAGTGGGTCAGTGGTCATCAGCTGCTCTCTTCAGCTTGTCTACCAAACCACTGCAGCATGAATCCATGTCCGGTCTATGAGAGAGAATCCAAGACCCTCTTTCTGTTTTTTGTCTGTGTTCCCACTCGAGTCTTAGACTTGACAGCAGATGTAATCGGTGAGCAGATGAAAGAGTGGGCCCATTTGCTGTTTGACCAGGACACGGTGTTCAAATGAAGAGCAGAAGACTGATTATCCCAGCATATGTTTATCGTTACACAGGCAAACCTGACTGCACATCACGCTGCTGCTTATCGTTTTGCTGTTTCACGTCTTTTGCTTTAGCATTCTGCAGTGATGATCAACGAATCACATGGAAGGTGGGAAACCAAATGGATGTTGAGTCGTGTGAGTGTCAGATGGCTGAGATCATTGACGAGGAAGGTAAGAGTACTCTGTACTGCAATGCCCGAACCCGGCTTGGCTACAGATCGGAGGCTCTAAGCTACAACTCTGGAGAGGATTTTGGCACAGTTTTATCCCCAAACAAGCTGATAGAGACCGGAAACGGATGCCTAGGGAGTGTGTTGAGTTTTCTAGAACAGAGTAATCCAACAAAGACATGGTTGCTCTATTCGTATCCCTCCAATCCAAAAAATAGAGTAGATCTTGGTCTCTACTTGAATTAAACCCCACTGGATTCCTTAGGGTGGCCAGATGAACCTTTATTGATATTGCATCATGGTCCCAGTGCGTACTCAGATCTGGTAGAGTATGAGCCTGGATGCTTTGCTTGTCTCATGGAGTGTTGGACAGAACATGAGAATGAAGAAATAGCCTTTGTGCTGTTCGAACTCCCTGAGAAAAAGCTATGAAAGTGTTCATTTTCCTTTAGTACCTGTAAATGAATGCATCTATCGCGACAAATCTATAAAAAAAATTTTCCCGCTGAAAACTGCTTTTGTAAATACTGATTTGGAAACTGGGATATGTACAGTATGGCACCAGACAGACTCATTGTGATTAGCATAATAGTCAGTCATTATCAGCAATTTAGAAGGTATATATTATATATAGTTCTTGAAAAGATCTAACTATTACACATTAAATGCATATAACAGACAATTTAATTCATACATTCCTTTTTATTTCTGATTAATGCTAAATGTATCTGCTTTTGATGCATTTGTGGCAGTAAACATTCAAATGTGTAACATGAACATGGTGTTTCCTCATTTTT